CAATCTAAATCATTTTGAACAGAAATGGATCTAAAAATTTATTTTAAAAGCAAAACGATATATACAAGGACGTTATTTTGAATCATTGGAAAAATAGATACAAACATATCCAATTTTGGTATTCATAACAATGCAATATAAGAGGTTTTTATAAATCTTCAGGGCAATGATTAACCTTATTTGGCCCATATATGCATCTTGTGAGATTAGATTTGTATGTGGATATTTCGGGGTGGGGGGTGGTGTGAGAGTGAGTAGGTGTTTATTATTTTGAGGCATTATAAGAAAGTGAGCGGTGCAACTAGCTAGGTTAAGTAGTGAGAAATATGGGCCATTGTATGGTATACTATCTAGATGACCCAATTAGGAATAGCAGGATACAACCATAGAGGGCTCATTTGCTTTGTTGAGCTTGTTGGGTATTCTGGTTTTTTGGGTAGGTGCGGGGGGTTGTCACCCTACCCCAATGGCATGGATGTGGCCCTGAGGCAAGTTTCCTTGTAACATTCATGAGAAATTCAACATTATATTGTATTTCCTTCTTTTTATTTATTTATTTAATAGTTAGAGGTATTCAGATCAATTTACTCGCACCTTAAAGACAGATCATCCACGTTAATACTAGGATATTCATGAGGAATAATTTTCTCATGGTCTGACTCTAAAAAGTTATTAAGATTCGAATTTAAAACATCTGAATTTACAGTTCATTCTTGTTATCACATGAACTATTCTTTAATGCTCCGTTTCGTACGATGGAAAAATTGAAGGATAAAAAATTAGAAGGATAGAAAGTTAGAGAGATAGATAAAAAAACCATCATGTTTGGTAAGGAAATAAAATAAGAAACATAGAAAAATAGATGAATGAGCTTTCTTTCCTACTCACCAAATCAATCCCTCCAAAATTAGAAGGAAAGTGGATGAAAAATTAATTATTTATATTGAAATATATCTTATTTGTCTATATATCTTTTGATATATACATATATTATGTATATATTAATTCAATATATAAATATAATAATAAAATATGTATTTATACTTTTTTTTTTTAAAAAAAAATTTCATCTAACCAAACACAAAAAAAAAAAAATTATTTTTATTTTTTATCCATCCTATCAAACACAGGGAAAGAAAAATGTTTCATTCTTATTCTTCTTTCTTGAAAAATAAAAAATATACCTCTCATATTTTTAATCCTTCTTCCCAAACAGAATATAAAAATTACAATATAATGTATTTTCATTGCACAAGGAGGCAACACCTAAAGAAAGCCAAGAAAGAAAACTTGTACATATAGATAGAGTAAAGAGCAACTAGAGAGGATACGGATAAGTATCTCGTCGCCTATTGCCTATAACGTGTTTAGTTAGAAATTCCAATGATAATTCACGAGGCCAGCATAATTTCACTATTATGGCTTTTTTGGAAAAGGGAGGAGGGTGGCGTGGCGGCAAAGTAATACTTTTTTTTTTTTTTTTGGATTTTTTTTTTTAGGGTTCTCTTTTCTTTCACAATTTAAATCCCTACAATTATGTTTTTCATAGGGTGTTAACTAAGATGAGGTATTTAGACTTGACAAATGTTCAATTCAAAATTCAACTCGAGTCGACTCATATTCTAAACGATCAAGCTACGCTTGAATAATTTTTTAAGTTCGTTTATATGAACGAGCCTAAAAAAATTGATTCGTTTATATGTAAAATAGTCGAGCTTAATTTGAGTTTGACTCGAGCTCGAGTTCGACTCGTGTTCTAAAAGAGTTAAGCTTAAATAAATTTTTAAGTTCTTTAAAAAAAACATGCGTTAAGACTCGATTTGAGCTCGTAAAAGTTTAACTCGTTTATATATAAAATAATTAAACTATTCCAACTTAGTTCGAGTTTGGTTTAGGCTCGGGTTCAGCTCTAATTCTAAACGAGTCAAACTTAATCAATTATTTAAGATTTGTTTAGAAAAACAAGTTCACCAGTTTTAGACTCAGAACTCGAGCCGAGTTTAAATAATTTTTAAAATTTGCTTAAAAAAACAAGTTCACCAACATTAAACTCAAACTCTCAAAACTTTGATCGATTAACACCCTCACCTCCAACACCATGCATAATTCTGAAGTCTACTGAATCCAAATCTGTCTTTGCAAAGTACGCTTTGTTGTATTAAAAGTATTTTTCCAAATACTGCATTGAAAGCTAAATATTGTATGGAAAGAAAAAATAAAATTCGTTGCCAAATAAGAGACTCTTTATGAAACCAGATGGCTACGTTCACACCCAATTATCCACCTGCAAGGAAATACAAATGAATGCATTGTTAAAAATGGGATTGAAATCGTGCCTAATACTTTTTTTACATAATTTCATTCAATAGCATTTCATCCATTATATATTTTTTTATGACCCATTATTTATATCTATACACATGGCTATGTTCACACCCAATTATCCACCCGCAAGGAAATACAAATGAATGCATTGTTAAAAATGGGATTGAAATATTTTCTATAATTTTTTTCACATAATTTCATTTAATAGTATATTATCCGTCATGTATTCATGTGAGACCTATTATTTATATATGAACCCTTTATTTATACACAGTGAACGATTTATCATTAAATAAAAATTATGCAAAAAAATAATAAAGAAGATTTATATCCTGTTAAACGTGGGACTTTAGATCATTCTACTAACTACAAAAAATCAGATAAGTCTTGGATTTAAGCAACGTTGTTAAACTGGTGCGATTTGAGTATACTTGAACTTAGTTTGATTGAGATTGGTGGAACTAAAGTTGGAGTCGAATTCTAGAATCAAGTTTAGAGGTTAATTCAAGTTTGTCTTGATAGAAACTTGCGAGATTTTGAGATAAATTCATACGTAGAATCTCAACAAATTTTTTCAATAGAAATTAAATTTCATATCTTAATAATAAATTCTATATTCATCAAGTTCTTAAAAAAAATCTATAAAATTTTTACAGAGTCATAGAATTAAGTTAGAAATGCACAAATTTCTAACAAAATTTAGTAAAAAAAGAGAAGAAGTTGAACTTTAAAGTTAAATTATTTGAACCCAAATGTGCATTATTAGAATGAGTAATAATGTTATATAATTCAAACGAAACTTAAAAACTTATAATTTAAATACATATTATTCTTTCGATGAATGAGTATCATCAATTTTTTGAGTGGAATCCACTTATCTAATACTTGTCCAAAAAATAATATATATTTAAATTATATTTTTTACATTTTATTTGGATATAACATTTTTCGAAAAGAAATCAACGTCAGGGGGGGCATCATCAATCTGAAGGCAGAGGGCCAAAACAGGTGTCAATTAATGTAGTACAAAGAAAATCTAAACGACGTGGGACACATTTTTAAACTTCTCTTATAAGCTCTCGTGTCTCATTGCCTCTGCAGACAAGTACCAGCATCTTCCGATGCGCTCAGGTTGGTGCTTTTGAACTTCAACACCCCCCCTCTCCTCTCTCTCTCTCTCTCTCTCTCTCTCTCTCTCCTTCCTTCCCTAGATAGGATCAATCGATAATATAAAATAAGACGCCTGTTAGTCTCATTCATAACCTATCTGCGTTAGTCTCATTCATAACCTATCTGCGTTAATTTAGATTCAAAGGGACCGACGCTGGAGTTTCTAAAAAATGGCGTTCAGGTTAAGTTCCGGAGATGTCGCTGGCTTCAAAGTACTGTTTTGTTTGGCGATTCTTTACGGTCTCATGTCGATTATAGCCTACTCCGTCATTCACATGAAGTTCATCACACCTCTCGGCCTCGATGCGCCTCTCGATCGATTTTCGGAATCCAGAGCCGTCGAGCATGTCCGAGTGTTGTCCAAAGAGATCGATGGTCGCCAGGTTAGAAAGATTTTACATACGTTTCTCTTTCAACACCAATAATGAATGTAGTTATAGGCACACATATGGTATATGCCATGTATGTTGTTCCAATTGGTCATGTTTGAGCTTGGATTGTGTTTGATTTAATTCAGTTGAATGTGCTCGATTAATTATTCTCTGTTGGGTTGCTGAGAATTTGTGGAAGTCAGAATTCTGAATATCGAGTGTCTGAGACGACGAAAATTCGCTTAACTTTGCGTTCTTTCATGCGATTCATATCTTGTTTCTTATCCCTAGTTCAATTTTTCTGGGTGACATAACTGAGTGAAAGCTAGTTGATGAGTATAGGATATACGTCCATTGCTTTTTCTTGATTATGTTTAATTCCAATACCTATATATTGATAGGTAGGGCGTCAAGGTTTAAGAGAAGCTGCTGAATATATCAAAACGCAGTTGGAAAAGATGAAGGAGCAAGCTGGACCCAATCTTAGGTCGGTAGTTGGTTTTATATTTTAAAGATATGCAATATGTGAGTAAAGTTGAGTTGTACGAAATTATGTTGATTTCATTTTAATTATTTTTTGAACTTGTATAATTTCAGGATTGAGATAGAGGAAAACATCATTAATGGCTCCTTCACCATGTTGTTTCTAGGCCATAGTCTGTCTCTGGCATATAGAAATCATACAAACATTGTCATGAGGTATCCTATTTGGGTTTAAGTTGGACATTGTACTTTTTCATGCGAATTTAGTATATTGTATGAAATTTCCAGGGACTTTGGGAGTCCAGGTGTTGCACCAAGTTTCTTGTTCTTCTAATGATGAGCTGTTGAGGCCTCTATTAGAGCTTGTGTGAGGGAGAGAAAGGGCACATGAATACAAAGGCAACAAGAAAGTGAAACCAGAATATCAGATAAAATTTAGCCTTGCAAATTAGGTTCTAGGTGATACTTCATGACTTCCCAAATTACTGGCGAGCCAGGATGCATTTACTATGTTGTCTTCCTGATTGATACCTAAATTCTAGAATGTGTGGCAAACATGATGTGTGCGCACGTGTAAAAGTTTGTTGTAAGAAAAATGAAACTGTAGCAATAAAATATATCTATATATATATATATATATATTTTTTTTTTGGGGGGGGGGGGGATGGAGTGATGGTTATGGAAATTTTTAAGACAGTGGGGAGATACCAAGTTTCCCTCTTGCACAACAAAAAGTAATAGATAAGTCACACCGTTACCATCCAAAACTGAAGCAGTGAAAAATTTCTCTTTCAAACCCAAACTGCCAATTTTTTTCAGTAAATGACATTGAATTATCTTGACTCTGAGTTACAGGATTTCATCAATAGATTCACATGACACTGACCCATCATTTTTGTTGAATGGCCATTTTGATGCTCCACCTGGTTCTCCGGGCGCTGGTGATTGTGGCTCATGTGTTGGTGGGTTTCATAAGTAACTTTTACATTTTTAGATGCATCTAAGTAGTTATGTTTCCCTTGATTGTATCGTGTCCTCTTTTGCAGCATCAATGCTGGAAATAGCCCGGCTCACTGTTGATTCTGGATGGATTCCTCCTCGACCCATTATATTTCTATTTAATGGCGCAGAAGAACTTTTTATGCTGGTAAGAAACTGTGTTTATTGTAAAATTCTGAGGGATGAGTTTTATTTCTGAAACTTGCTCTGGTTGATCCCAGTGTTGTGGGTGTTTTCACAGATTCAGTGACCTTTTAACATGAACTGTTATACTACATTTTTTTCTCCCACATCTTGTGTCATAATAACTTTTTTCTTTATTTTTCTCGAAAAAAATGAAAAAGGAAATGGTATGATTGTGTAGTGGACTAGTGTTCTAAGCTTTTGATTTGACTTCTGTTGTTATGGAGAATTTGGTCTTGTCAGGATTTTTTATTGTATTTTATGATTTTATTTCAAAGTTTAATGGTTTTTTCCGAGTTTGTTTCCTTTCATTTAGTTTCAACTTTGGACATTTTTTTGTCACCTGCACTAATCCCTCGACACTATTAGATCAAATGGATTAAAAAAAAAAGGGATAGCCTTTCTGTTGAACATATGAGTTGATCAAACCAACCTTAACCTCCATTTAGAAAGATTTTAGAGATAATTTACTTATTTTAACTCATTGATTGGGTTAATTTGCGTGATTTCTAAGATTCAGAATCTTGTATTTAACACTTATTTTTTTTGTCACCCCTTATAAAAGCTGGGTTTCTATGCAAATATGATGGATGAACTACAATAAGAGATGTAGTCCTTTGTGCATTTGGTCCATGGTTGTAGGCGGATTGTCTGAATGTCATATATGTGTGTTTTCTATTCTTCCTCGCCTGTCTTATTCTCTTCCTTTTATATTATTATCTTGCAATAAGTTTATAAAATGTCAATCTTGAATCATGCATAAAGTGATTAAGCATGTATGCCTCTAATATTGACATAAATTTATGATTGATATACTTTAAGCGAAAAATGTTGATTATTACCATTATTGATGTTACTAACCAGTAATAGTTGTTTTACTTGAGTTTGATTCGTCATAGATATTACTTACAATTAATTTGTCAGACCCAACCATAGTTGTCAAACCGTAATAATATGTTCTGCATTACACCGATTAGTTCTACATCATATTTATGTTTTCACTTTGGCGACATTGCAGCATCTTCCAAAGTGAATAAGTACACATGTTAATAAGGGTCTTACAATATGAATGTGTTGTGTCTTGAGAGTGGTCAGACACTGATATGCAGGGCTATATTAAGGTCACCTTTGCATCTAAGGAGATTGTTTGTACTACCATTATGTTGCATTTCCAAAACGATGTAAATTCAGTCTACTTTAATGCTGGATGACAACATTGAAATCATCTAATAAATTAGATTATTGTAAGATATGCTTGAGCTTACAGAATAATATGTTGTTAACACTTAACATGCTATACGAGCTGGAAAGGCTTGTGTTACAGTTATTCCATAATAGTAAATATTAAATTCACATCCATGGCTCACTAATTGTGGTGAGCAGAGTGTGATAGACTTTTCCGGCTTCTGCTCATTAGATGCATAAATGGCTTCATAGACATATGAGCTTAAGACAAGTGATCTGCTTATGACTTTTCAGGGTTCACATGGCTTCATGACAACACATAAATGGCGTGATACAATCGGAGCTTTTATAAATGTCGAAGCGTCTGGGACTGGAGGGCTAGGTAAGTATTTTGTTTGGATTAGTGAGCTAGGTAAGTATTTATTGGCTGCTAATATGTTCATTTTGCAAAGATTTGAATTTTTTTGCCATGCTGGTGCTTATCAATTGGGAGTGCAACCAGCTTCTGGTTCTTGGTAGACATTATTCTTTACAGTGGCAGTTACCTCTTACGTCAAGCTAGCAAAAAAGGAATCTATGAGATGAACTAGTGATAGCGGCCTTCTTACAATTACTGATTCTAATATGGTTGAAAATATATTGAGGTTCAATCATTCATGAAGTGGTTGAATCTCCTAGTGCAAATGAGAAATATTTTTTTCCTTTGAGTGTTTGGCCTATCTAATGCACAGCAGTTGAAAAGAACTAATATGTAGACAAGTACCAAAAATATTGCCTCTAGGTTGCCACTGTGTGGCTTGTAACCAAAATTTTGAATGGACGATGCAAATGGATAGAATTGAACACAAGTCATGGCAACAACAATAAACCTCAATTGTGTGATAGCTATTTCTATGCAGCTGCTCTGCTGTTAATCCAGCTGCACTTTCATAAGCTACATTTGTATGATTAAGTTAAGAGATTTTTTAAGTCTTGTTAAGAGGATTGTGGAAAGAATGTACTGTGAAGACGACCTTTTCCCAAGGTTATCAGAGTGGGTTTTGTGCTTTTTTGTGAGACATTGGCTGATTGCTTTTTATTTGTTTTTACTGATTTATATTGCACTTTATGGAGCTATATTGGGTTTGTGGCTTCAATAAACATTAATTCTGTTGAACAAGTTGGCTAACCAAATGCATTTGTATGCTACATTACTACGGAAAAAAATTAAGAAAACTCTATTGCATTAATGGAGGGTGCAAACTGTAGGTTTTATTTCATGTGATGCTACTGCATCTTTTTTTTAAGCAGAATTTATTTGCTGATTTTTATTATTCAAGTAACAGATGTTGTGTGCCAAACTGGACCTGGATCTTGGCCTTCCTATATCTATTCTCAATCAGCTCTATATCCAATGGCAAATAGTGCAGCTCAGGTTTTGGTTTTACTTCTCTATTATTTCATTTGAACAGCTTTAAATTAGTTGATGATACAAGCTCCAATTTTGGAGAGATGACTGTTCAAAATTTGGAAATTTTCATGTGTTATTACATTTTGATGAAAGCATGTAAGGCTGTTGAAAAATGGGGTCTTAATCTGCTGTTTATTGTGTATGCACACCAGTATAGTGATTATTTTGTGTTGTTCCATAAGTTCGATGTCATCTTTGACATCCTTTTCTCTTTCATGGTGAGCTTGGAACCATAAAATTAAGTTGCGCTTCATTTCAGTTAGGGCATCTACAATGTTGACCCAAACTCAAACTCAAATTTGAGTAAAAAGCTTGATTTGGTATAGAATTCTCCAATGGACAAATTCAAATTTAAAGAAGGGCAAACTCAAATTTAAAGGAAGGTGAAATATGGTCATTGGATCTTTTGAAAGAGTGAAATTTGACCATTGAAGATTTGAACAAATATTTGAGTTTGCCTTTATTTGAGTAAAAAGTTGAGTCTCCCTTCATTTGGTATATGTTTGCGGCGAAGACTGAAACTTTTTTTTAGTTTGTTTTTACTCAAATTTAAATTTGAGTAAGAGTTTGAGTTAGGAGTGGAGATGGCCTTATATTCACATTGTTCGCTTATTGTCCTTGGTGTAATTGTCATATATACTCTCTGATTGGATTATTTGTTAATTTTTTCTTTTTTTGCATGTATGCAGGATGTTTTTGGAGCTGTTCCTGGTGACACGGATTACAGAATATTTGCCAATGATTATGGCAACATTCCAGGGCTGGATATTATATTTCTCCTTGGGGGTTATTTTTATCATACATCCTCCGATACTGTGGAAAGACTATTGTATGCATTACAAATGCCATTTTGGTATAGTTCACTTAATTGTGATTTTAAGATCACTTCGTCAATTTGGGTTCTCGTCCTAATTAATGTGATTCTCTGTGAGCCAGACCAGGAAGTATCCAAGCACGTGGGGACAATTTGTTTGGTGTAGTTAAAGCACTCTCCAATTCTTCTAAGCTACGAAATGCCCACGACCGAGAGTCTCTTAGAGACACTGCTGTTGGATCTGAAGATGAGCGGGCTGTTTTCTTTGATTACTTGTCATGGTTCTTGGTATGTTACATTCTACTAGCTCAGAATTTGTTTTATAAACATTTTCTGCTTAATCTACTTGTACATTTATCATCAACAAGGATTTTCTTTTAGAAAAGTTTATCTTTAAAATTCATATATGAATCTTCCAGATATTCTATTCAAGAAGGCAAGCAATGATACTTCATAGTATTCCTTTTGCTCTCTACTTTCTTATGCCTTTTTTTCTGCGCCTCCCAAATAGCGGAGTATGGTCTTCCTTCATGACCTTCTGGGACTTTTTCAAAGGTAAGGGGTAGTTACAGATATTGAATGTGTCTTTTTACTTGAAATATTGGCCCTCGACCATCTATATATTATAATGCATATGTGTGATGCAGTTACTATGCCAATTTGCAGGAATGATTTTGCATGCTATTGGGATTATACTTGCCATTATTTTTCCAGTTATCTTTAGCATCCTGCGGCTGCTATTCTCTGGTCATTCAATGCACTGGTAGGTGTTTATGTCTTTCTTTGAGATCACTATTATTTAATTTATTAGAGACAACCTTGATATTCTTTTAGAACCCAAATACATCATTGTTGGATTAAATAAGCATGGCCTAAAACTTCCCAGCAGTAAACTCAATGTTTATGGAATCCATTAACCACTGCGAATCGATTCCAGTTGTGGAGTTGTTGAAGTTCATCAAGGAGTTTGATACTAGAACTCGGGCATTTTGTAAAATTTTAAATGTCACAGTTTGATACTTTCGATTTTGGTGACCTTTTTTTTCTCTATGTAGGTTTGCTAATCCATACTTAGCTTTTATGATGTTCATACCCTGTTCACTTGCTGGTCTGTTGATTCCAAGGATTGTTTGGCGATGCTTTCCTCTCTCTCAGGATGTTTCTGTTCTCAAATCATCAAAAGAGGTACAGTTGTTCATCTTGGCTTTACCAAATTATGATTTGTTACCTGTCCACTGGTTGGTCTGTTGATTCCAATAGCTGTTTGTAGATACTTCCCTCATCTCTCTCTCTCTCTCACACCCACACACACACACACACACCCACACCCACCCACCGCATACACACAAGAGATGTTTCTGTTCTTAGAACATTGAAATAGTAAACATTTGTTTGATGGAAATTATGGAACTGATTTCAGATTATCCTATATTATGGAGACATTTATGATGCACAACAAATGTTGGGTTTGGGAATTAAGAAATGGGGCATTGGTTACAAAAGAACTGTTCAATTAATTTTTGCGATGCCTCATATACTATATTGAAAATTGAAAATTGAAAATATATGTACCATAAACTACAAGATGGGTCTTTGCTGAAGTTGCTGGAGCAACACGTTATCAGCTTGGTGAGACCAAGCTGCTAAATGGTTGTGCAGATCATGGTGATCAGTGAAGATTCTGAAGTTGATTTATGTACACAGTATTTTTTGCCAGTTGGTTTTGTTTGCCCTTTGTTTTTTTTTTGGGGGGGGAGTTTGTTTAGTGTCTGTTGTGGCTGAATTCACGTCTTAGAATTTCAAATTGTCAATCAATTGAGTTACTGGCTTGCAGAATTCACAACGTTATCGAGTTAGCAAACTTCTGATTTTATATTAAAATATTGCAGCAACTAGCAGATGAAGCAAGGTTTTGGGGAGCATTTGGGCTGTATGCTTTATTGACGCTGGTGTGTAATTCGTTTCAATTATAATCTTATGTCGTCTTGCACGTGGAGTTTTATTCTTGTATTGCTCACCAGAGCTGTGTAACTAGATCAGTTTGATAGAATAATATTTGAAGACTTGTATTACTAAAGCAACATATTGAAACCAGGCTTATCTTTTAGCTGGGTTGAATGGAGGTTTCTTGACTTTTTGGTCAGCAGCCTTTATGCTTCCTGCATGGATCTCATTCTGCGTATCAATTAAATCCTTTGGTCACAAATCACTCAGGTAACTATTGTGAAATATTTTTGGTTATATATATTCTTTACTGTTGTGATTCATTTGAATCGATGGAAGTTTTGTTCTTTTATCTTCCAGTGATATAAGGGAAAGTTTAATATGTTACATAGCTGGTTGTAGGTTGTCTTGAAAGAGAGAGATTCCTTATTTGGTATCAGGATGGAATTAAGGCTTCCAAACACAAACCTGGTATCTAATAACTTGTTTTCTACAGTGATCTGATTAGAAATCGTCTCTATCAGGTCTACGGCATGTTATGTGGTACCCCTTATACCTTTCCTTATCTACTCTGTTTACTTTGGTGGGTTAATGGCCCAGTTCTTGATCGAGAAAATGGGCATGATGGGCTCACTACCACCGCCTTATGGTTAGTACATCTAAGCTTATTTATTTTCCAAATTTGTGCAATCTTGCTCCAATTTGTTTTTTTACCTACGTAGTGCCCACAAAAAATGAAGAAATTGAAAAAGAAGTACTAATCTAAATGTCAGTCCAATTATATTGTAGAAGCAAGGTTTATAAAGTGAGCTATCTGCATCCTCAGATCCTACTCTTCCCCCTCAACTTGTGCCAGACCAATGAGTTTTATGGTTTAGCACTTGGATGGCTGTGCATTTTACTAAAAAATCAATCAAAATGAATGTTTCAACTTTCAACCTTTATCAAGCTATCATAATTTAATTTGAAACTTATCTTCTAGTATTCAGATCCTTAATATTATCCGTAATTCCGTACAATTCTTATTTTCTTGTTTTTGTTTTGGGGAATTCTTTTCTTTTTTCTGTTTGTTTTGGTCATTAGGGTGAATGGGATGTTCTTCCTAATTACGTGTTGTGATTGCATCATATTTACATGTATTGTGTCTAAAAGGAAAATTGACTTCTGCTTTGGACCATTAATTTCCCTTCTTTACAGTCATAATTAAAGTGGTATTTCTGAAATTTTATGCCATCAATAATCATCTCACAATGAACTTCTTGTGGATACCCAAACTTTGTCGTCTTGAGAAGGTTTATGGTGAAAACATTGAAACAGGCCATGAATAAGTTTCTAGTTATGTCAGCATTTTAAAAATATTTACATGATATGAAGTGACAAAGTCTAATTTGCTTGCAGGGTATTTCATTCCTGATGCTGTAGTGGCAGCAACTATTGGAATTGTGACCGGTTGGTGTACAGGACCTCTTATACCAGTTGCTGGCCATTGGTTAGCCAGGTCATCTATAATGCAATTCTTGCTGCATATTAGTGTGCTTGCCTTGGCTCTATCATCCCAGTTCTTTCCATACAGCACAGATGCACCTAAAAGGGTTGTTTTCCAGCATACAGTTCTGACTGCAGGTACTGAATGTATTAGAGTTTAAATGTGTAAACCCTAATTTGCTTGCCCTTGTAGTTTCTATGACTTGACATTGTTTGCCACTTATTATATGACATTGTACAGTCTCATACACACAACCCCGCTTTGGTTCAATAAAAGATTAGTGATCTTATACTTAACAATCTTCTACGGTCTAGCTGATAGTATGACACCTCTAAAACTTCTTATGAAGTACAACTTTGTGATATTTATGCCTAATGGTCTCCTCCCTTTGGTAAATCTTGTCTCTGGAATAGCAACACCACTTATATTTGCCTTGGAGGTTCTGTTTTTGCCCATTGTTATTCTTGTTCTGAAGATTTGATGCATCATATTTGTCAAAGAAGATGCATAATTAACTTCATGCGGTTCAACTCTTTGGTCATTAGATTATTTTTGCAGCTTTTAGCATATTAATTGGTATTGCTCACAATGGAGATGCTGCGCTATCAATATATAAATCAAGTTATGAGCTTTGAATTTGAAGTGTATATATTTTGCTTGAAGGAATTGGTGATTTCTCTCTTGAAGATAAGTTATTGCCCTCTAGGATATATAGTGTGGTGGTATGAGAGTTTCTTCACTTTCTTTCCAATCCTCACACTTAAAGCAAGCTTGTGTATTTTAGATGTATTAGTGTCAATGACTCAACACGTCATGGAATCAAATCTCTGGTACATTTTGAACTAATAATTGTGCATAAGCAAAAATGTTAGGCAATTAAGAATGGCCAGGCAACATATATGATGTCATTATATTGATATTTGTAACCATGGCCATAACAGTTTTAATCAGGCTTGATTTATGAACATAGAAGTCCATGGTTGTTCAGCATTCTTCTTCATAGAATATGGCTGCTCTCTCTCACATGAAGTTATATTCACTGCGGATATTGTTGGTTATTCATGCAAGTCTGTGTTTTCGTGTTTTTGGATTCTGCTAGATGTCGAGTATAAAATTTGAATGCATTTCAAATTGATTACTTTTGTGACTTCTAACAAGTGTTTCACTTCTGCGATTGACAGATGCAGCTCAAGTTGTGGGCTCCAGTTATGATTTATCTGTAGTTGACTCCAACTCCCTACTTTTTCTTTTCAAACATGCTCCAGAAGTGTCAAAGGAACTACACATTGGTTCAGAGTTATTGTTTGACACCATCAGTCAGTCTCGCCAAGAGAGTTGGGTGGTACATATCCTACAATCTTTAAGTGAATGTTTAGCCAAATTATCGATTAAGATGAACTTTTTATGCCTTTTGTGTTAATAAGGAATAAAAGTGGCCTTGTCTGTTCTAAACGGACTTATTTGGTGGACTTCACATCTGAACCTGCAAGGCGCATTTATGCCTGCATATATTCGTCTTTCTATGCCAGCTTTTCTTTTTCCTTTTAATTGTAAAGTGGTCAGACTTCCAAGAGTGAAATGCACTTGAGTATGAGAGCAACCACTTTATGCAAAAGTTAGCACTCTGCATACATTGAAGCAATCTGGTTACTAGACCTTCTTGTTTCTCGTTTTTTTTTTTCAAAAATAGGAAAGAAACTGGATAATAGGCCTTATGTCTCCTTAAAATGGTACAACAGTTGTCATTTTATTCAAACATGACTTTGTTGTCATGCAACTTGAGAGTTGGTTGTAAAAATCTCAAATTTTGATGGATAACAATTCAATTTAAATCTGACCAAGTAATTGAATTATAGCTTGGGTAGGTTGACTTCCTGTCCGACAAAAGGTTATTGTGTGTGTGTGTGTGCATGTTGAGTAGTTTGACTTAAGGTATTCTATTTCATTTGTATACTATTTTATATGAACTTTGAATTAATCATTACTTTTTGATGAATTGGTGGCCACAAATTAGTATTTTGTTCAAGGATGTCTTCGGAGGAAATATATAATACACGCTTATTTGTTTTCCAGGGAATTTTTCCAGTATCTTTCTTGTTTTCAAGAAGCTTAAAATTCCCCGCAGACAATGATGATATCTTGAAGCAATATCGATACTTCCCTCATTTATCGTCTTATAAGCCCCAAATCATTTACAGTGGGGGATCTCGGAGAGTTTACTTGGAGTTTTCGTTGGGGTAAGTATACAAGCATATGCAATTGATGGAATAACAATGGTACTTTATTTTTACACTTTCTTTCACCTTCAGCACTGAAATCTCTAGGCTAGTGGACTGTGAACATGTTCATTTTCCAAAATATGGTCATAGATATACATGTGTAAAACATATTTTTGTGTGGTAATTTCATAAGAAATCTAAATAATGGTTCTTTCATGGATGAATGTTGGAAGCCTCTGTCAGCAGGCTAACAGTTTTGTAAGACTGGAAGTGTCTTATCATGCATTTGACTTATTGTCAGGACTTGGACCACAATAAATAGTATATACTTTCAACATTATTAGCAAGGTTTTGTAACTTTTTAATTTTTTTCAGTTCTTCAAAGGAGGTTTGGGTTGCAGTCCTTAATATTACTGGTCCCTTATCCAATTGGTCTCTTGCAAGCAATATACTTCCAGGTGATTCAATTTTCTTCTTCTTAGTCAGACTTTAAGTGCTGCTTTTGGCTGCATAATGATCCACGTGAAATTGTTTCACAGGTCCAGAAAGGCTTGATGGTGGTCCACCCTCATACATATGTAGGTTTAGTGGAGTAGCCCAGGAGAACTGGACGTTCTGGCTGGAGGTAACACTCTTAACATGTTTTGGCATTGTGTTGGCATTCATATTCTACTGCCTCTTTTTGCATAGTTTTATTTTGCTACATCTCTATTCTGGTTGTGATCGATATGGTTTAATATAGTAGTTAAAAGGATAATCTGCCGACTAAAGACATGGCATATACACTAGTTCCCTAAATAACACAGCTTGGAAACAAATGCTATTTTCATGTAATTTGAGTTGTCCAACAATAATGCTTCATTCGAAGTGACTTTCATTGGCATTCATGAATCAATTTTTGTTGCTTTTGACCTATAACTCAAAAACAAGAATAATTGTTGCTGCGTGGAGAGCAGACGATTCCTAAATTTTGTTGCAATTACATGTTTACGGTATAATTCCCCGATGATAACGTGCACTTAAGTCCAATTCCTTTTGTACACTTGCCCTGTTCTTCATTACTTGTGTCGTAGAAATCTTTTGGACTTCTTTGTCCTTATGCTTTCCATCACTTGGCAAAAGCCAAACATGACATTGTGCAAGTAGATAACTTTCTGCCCCCCACCCACCCCACCCAAAAAAAAAAGTAAAGAAAGGCAAAGAAAGAAACACAAGGAAAAATGGACAATAACCTATCTCGACTAGACTATTTATTAGAACAGTTATCTGTAATGCTCTAGTCTAATTAATTGTCCAGAGTTGCAATGACTGAAGTGGGCGAGTCAGAATCAAAAAGAGCCAAACTTGTTTTCATTTTGTTTTTTTTATTACACAGGCCAGCAGTTCTGAAGCTTTACAAGTTGAAGTTGCTGTAGTAGACCAATATTTAGTGGAGCCGGCAAAGAAGTTGAAAAGTCTTTTTCCTAATTGGGTGGATGTCACTGCTTATACAAGTTTTCTGTCAAGTTATATCTTCTAGTTTACCTTTCCCTGTTTTGTAAGGCTATGATTCTATGAGGTACCCCGAAATGTTCTGGAAATACTCTGTTGATTTTAAATTTATTAGTTAAAGCAATATGATTTTGTTATAATCGTCATTTGGATCATGATTGACTCAAATACTTGCTGGATGTGGCCAAAAGTAGAAGTAGCAACTAAAAGTGAGGGGGTCCATATGTTAGTGCGTTGCTAATGAGAAAATCCTCCCTTTTAGCAGAATTCATTTATCGCTTCTGTGGGGAGCTATAACTATATAGTGTAAGATATGCTTGGACATAGAGTACGAAGAATTTGATTAGTCATCTTTCTGCATCTTTCCCTTTGGTAGGCCGACCAGCGAGTCTGTGACAATCTTGCGATAAGATTTGTTAGCTTGCAGGTAATATGCTTACCTGATGTTTGGAGTTCTTGTAAATCTTACTGTGGTATGCATATTTTCGAAGGGAGTATGTTTGGGACAGGTTTTATTCCTCTGTAATTGAGGCTTGTTTTAAGGTAATTTCTGCCAAATTATGTCTGGTATGTTAACCTTGACCTTAGTAATTGTCTCTGAAAACATGAGGTGTGGTTAATTTCAGTAATCGCATCTGGAGTGAGATATGGCGATGTTTGTCCATATCCGTTGATGTTTGAACTTTGTTGACACCTATAATTGTTGAGTAATCCTATTTGGACCTAATTTATTGATGTAATTTCCTTGGATTGACATTGAGTTTTATCAATTATTAGAATTTAGTGTTAATTCAACAATTATTATACAACCACCTAATAAATTTCTGTTAAGGGCATTTAGAAGCGCACACGTACAGACTAGGCATGACCATTCAAGACATGATGATCTATAAATTCCTCACTGTATTTACCCTTAACGACTTTGGGTTGCAACCGGATAGATCAACTGGACTAATAAAGTAAATGAGGTAACATAAACTCAATACTATACAAACTCAATTAAAAACAATTTCTGATACACTATTGTAAATAAGTCGGATATAAATTGAACATTTTTGACACTTCACAACTTATATTTGGCACTTCACCACTGGCACTACAACACGACACATCTACCCCACTGTGCATGAGCCCATTGCAATATCTTGGAACTTCATGTGAGAAGTCCCAGGGAGAATGTCCTGAACGATATTACACCACCTCCAACTTTCTTCAGAACTGGAAGACAACTGAGGGTATGGAAAGAGTGACCGAGTGAAATCTCAATTGCATTACAGAACTTTGAAATAACCAGCGCTAATTACGTTAAGCATCTGGAACTGGTACCTGCGTGGTAATGTGACACATCAAAACGTCCTAATCGTTCCACAGCGTCTGCAACACAATTCACACGAACAGAATCATTAATTTCCTGCATGAAACCTTTCAATTCACTGCTATCTTACATCATACAGGTATTTTGAGAGCTTCTGTCGGGGTAAACCTACGAAATCCTTGTTCATCTAGTGCTGTAATATGTACTGGCAACAAAAAGTGGGTCAAGGAATTTATATACAATGTGAGATTCAAGTCAGCATGCTTCCTACTGGTTTTCATGCCTCATTGCCCTTAAAATGGGATTCTCATCATCTGATAAGTTGTCGTCATCATCAAGTTCATCCAGCTCATCTAGTAGTGACTGGTTAATCCTCTTACGAGATTGTCTCCTATGCTTCTTGGGCTCCAGCCGCGGTTCTGCTTGCTTGACACCCATTCCACCCACCTTGTACCTGAAAATGTTCACCAAACTTTCAAATCATAATATAAATTAAAGGAGATTAAAGGAGAGAGAGAAAAGCATAGGTAAGTGCGAGCTATAAAGTTAGACAAAGGAGTGAAAGTAAAGTATCCCAGAAACCATCTTACTAAAGCACTCATGATTTCTCTAGCACAATTTAATCAACACAACCAGGAACTTAACAATTGCTTTCTGTTGGTGTTCAACAAATTTGCTAGGAAATACACATGCTCATCCAGAAAAGTAGTATAACTCGTACTTATGAGAATTCTATTAGGATACATGCAAAATCTTCCACACGAGTAGATAGTGTTTGCTGTTTTT